ACAGGCACAGAGCCATCATTCCGCCCCAAATGTATAATAATGTATAATAATACAGTGTGTGATCTCCTGTCATGGCCTAAGGAACAGACAGTGCGCCTGTCTCTCAATAGTGTTGAACATTTTATTTTACGTTAAGTGTCCAATAACAAGTGTAGGTATATACTGTACAGTTAAGGAACAATAATAGGTTTATTCCATGCTGAAAAAAAGAAGAAAGAGAACACAACGTTTCGGCCGTGGAGCCTTCTTCAGGTGTGAGAGAGACAGGGCAGTAGGCAAAGGTAAAGTAGCGGGAGAACAAAGGTTGGGAGGGAGGAGGAGTGAGAGGCGGGAGCAGGGGACACTGTACAGTAATACTGTATATAAAATATAATGTACTATATACAGTATAAGCAGTACAATACATATATTGTAGGTATGTAATTGAAATGTAAAAAAAAATAACAATGACAGCAAAAGGTAATTTAAAATAACCACAAGTGAACCAGTTACAGAAATAGATACAGTTGTTCACATGAAAGTGGAATGTGCTACTACTACCAACTTAATAAATTATATTCAATTACATACTGTGAATTAATAATATTAATAATGATTAAACTATTTTTTTCAACTACCAAAATTCCTTTAGTTACATGATTCCGTATTAATATTCCCTATTAAGTGGATTTTAAAAAGTTCAACAACTTTTATTTACAACAATATTGACAGCAAGTATTCACAGAAAGGTTAAAACATTATAGGTTTTTATAGTGTATAAACTTTATATTGATCAAGCACCTCAAAATATTTCCAAAATAACCACAATAAGTGACCGAGTTAAAGAATTTGATGAAAAAGACTTTGACAGAAAATTTTTATTAATAATAATAATAACATCACTTTATTAACCCTTTACAATTTCTTGCATTAGGAATTGTCTTTTTCGCATACCCCAGCTTGCTCTCCATGAAGAGGAGCTATGAAGAATGTTGAGTACAACTTGTACTTTATTTTTACTAGTGTACTTTATTTTTAACTACCACTACCACCCAAACCCAGTGGAGTCTTCTTAGGTGAGTTTGGTGATTTTCTCTAATTCTTATCCCTTAAATTTAAAAGGATCCTTATTCTAGGGGACTTTAATATACACATTGATTCAACCTCTTCCAGTCTGGCTAAAGACTTCCTTTCTCTTTTGGGATGCTTTGACCTTACTCAGTTTGTTTGTACCCCTACACATAACAAAGGACACACCTTAGACCTAATTATTGCAAATGACTCCTTTGTCTCCCACTGCTC